AGCTTCTGCAGCTGTGTGACTTGGGAGAGGCCTCTACCCTGATCCACAGACTTGGGACATTCTAGCCTCTACAATCACGTGAGCTGTTTCCTTGATATAATCTGTCTATATATATGTTAATACACTTTACTGGTTTTGCTTCTCTAGAGAACCCAGCCTAAGACACTTAGTATTGTACATGGTAAGTACTCAATAAATGTTAACAATGATGCTAATAATAATAATGAAATACACTATAAACTGCCCTCCCCAAGCCTGCAGAAGCACCGTTAGTTAAGAGAATGGTCAAGCCTCCTCTTTTTTTTTCCTCGCTCTCTCTCTCTTTTTTTTTTTTTTTAAGTCTAGTCAAGCCTGTATTTCTTCTCACTACTCCCCTCCCCAATCAGTAGGACTGCCCTAATTAACCTTCTCAAAAAAAAGTAAGAATCTATGAGAAACGCTTTACAAAATTTACTAATCTTCTAGTAGCTATAATCACCTTGCTTTCCAATTCATTTGTTATTTCTGAAGCCTTCTGTGTATAGTAGGCCCTCAATAAATACTGATGGATTTCAAACAAAATGGAAAAGAAAAAATCCTCAAAAAGGCCTACCGCCATTTGAAGATATTTATAAGTCAGGCTGTTTAACAGATGAAAACAATTCCAAGAGTTAAACTAAAATCATTTCCATAAAATCTTAGTGAGATAAAGTACTATGTGCTATAATTATTAAATTTAAGTTTAGAACTGTATCAATTATATTCTCTTCCCAAATGTATGCAATGCTCAGAATTATTTGCTGATTATTGCTTTTCAGAGACCATAACTTTCTTCCTTATTAAGTTGTAAATAGGAAAGGTGTTTATATTGCCTACTAGCCAAAAGCCCAATTTCTTCAAGAAAATGTAAAAATAAGGAAAACCCAACACCATGACTTACCCACTTCAGCCAAAGTTCTAATACAGGACTCCACTGAGGCTTTCTGTGCCGGGTTTGGCCAAGTGCAGTTGTAAATTCTGAAGGCAGACTGTAGCAGCTGAATAAAGACTGGCTGATGTGTCTGACAACAGGAAGAAATTAAGATAAATAGTGCCAATAAACCATTAACACCCTGATAAGGTAACTACGCATTATCAAAAAGGTTCATCAAAATAAAATACAATCCATTCTTCCAAGGTTCAGTGTTATTTAATAAATTTCTCATTCAACAAACATTTATCAGGTACCTACTTCATTCCAAGCACTATAGAAAATCGATCATTTGCATTTTAACTACATTCTTGATCAGAAAAAGATGGGATTTCTTGAAGCCAATGACATGAACTTAAATACATATTTTTTTAAATTCCTTGTTTATTTCCAAGCATAAATAGAGCTGTTATTTCTGGGTTTGTTTGGTTGGTTGGTTTTTATATGATGGGCCAGCACAGGAGATGACCACATTTGACTGCATCTACACAAAACAATTTCATATGGCTGTATCTAGTAGCTTTAAAGGTCACCCAAAAGAAAGGAGAGTTGAAAGAATACATTTATAAGAGTAATACACAATCAATGGAGAATATTTGCAGATCATAGAAATGAAAATCACCCATAATCCTACCGTGTGGAGGTAATTAGTATCAACATGTGGAAATATTTATTTCCTGGGTTTTTCTATCATGTACACATACATATTCTTTACACACATAAATTTGGATGATGATATAATGCAATTCTGTGGCCTGTTCACTTAATACTGCATCATGATCATTTCTCTTA